CTTCCTCCTCCTCCTCCTCCTCCTCCTCCTCCTCCTCCTCCTCCTCCTCCTCCCTGAGCCCAACCTGGCCCTCACCTCAGCGTGTGGACTCCACTCCCTCGCAGCGGCGGACGCCGCCGTGGCGGGACCTCGTCCGTCCACACGGCGGAGTCCACGGGCACCTCGGTGAGCACCGACGGCGGCACGTAGAAACCGCCGCTGAGGTGCTCAGGCAGCTCGAGCTCCGCCCTGTGACGACAACGACGACGAAGACGACGGCCACGGCCACGGCTGCGGCGACGACGACGACGACGACGGCGGCGGCGACAACGGAGACGATAATGACGATGACGACGGCGACGAATCCTCATTCCACGGTGTCCGAAAAATTTCGGTCGCCTTCCACGTTTCGTCCGTTTCCAGGAGATGTTCAGACACCTGTCGGCGGTCTTGGCGCGGCGACGACGGCGACGACCGCGAAGAGGTTGATGCTTAGAGGAACAAGAAACCATTAACGTACACTTTCGGAGGTCTGTTCGGATTTCTTGGATCCGCGCCGGACCCCCGTCCCCAGCGCGCGGAGCGCGCTAGGGGCGGCGCCAGAGGCGCCGCCAGGGGGGCGCAGCGTAGATCAAAGAAATCCGCGCTGAGCGCCGAACATTTATGTTGATGTGGCTGTTCTTCTTCGAATGTTCGGGCCATTTGGGGGGCACTGGGGACCCTTCGGCGCCGGAGGCCGCATATGTAGCCGCCTCGAGATCCTGGCAAGACCACGCCCGCGACGGAAGCCTGGGGGACGACTCTGAGGTGGGGAGCTGGACGACGACGACGACGACGATGACGACGACGACGGCCGCGGCGCCAGCCAACGAGACGAAGACGGCGGCGACGACCGCGGCGCCAGACAACAAGACGACGACGACGGCGACGACGACAGCGGCAATGACGGCGGCGGCGGCAATGACGACGAGCCTGTGCACCTTGCACCCGGCGTTGCTGGCCTGCTGCAGAGCGTCAAGGATCTTGCGCTGCTGCTGCTGCGACACGGCGGGGCCCATCTGCGTGCCCTCTTGGGCGGCGCGCAGGGCCCAGACCCCCGACGTCATGATTTTTGTTCCTAACGTCGAGTCGACCCCCAGAGGTGTGGACAGATCTCCTGGGACCAATGTTTCATGCCCAATCGTTTCTTGACGGTCTGGAGGCCCGGCCAGGGCTCCCCTGAGGCCGAAAACAGAAAAACAAAACCTCCAGCCGTGACTTTTGCATTAGGGAGTCTGGGGGGTCAGCAGTTGGGCCTCAAGGAGGCCTGGCCTCCAAGATTCTAGCGGCCGCCTGAGCATCCTGAAAGACCCCTGGTGGCCACGGCCGAACGCAACCCGACAGACCGGCCGGGGCACGCTGCAGGAGAGGCCCCCGGAACGGTTCGTGAGCGGAAGTCGGTGACGTCGTGGCCGTGGCCATCGTTGCCGCCGCCGTTGCCGTCGTCATCGTCGTCGTCTTCGTCGGCGGCGTCGTCCCCGACGGCAACGACGGAGGAGGGGGGCAAGCCCTCCGAGAGGGCACGAACGGCCCAGAAAGGTCCTCTGAGAAGGCTGGCTGTGAACGGCCTCCGAGAAGGCTGCCCTTTGACTACACTGAAGTCGGGCGTGTTCCTCTAAAGGAGGAATTTTCAAAAAATAGTCAAAAATAGTCAGGGGATGATTCCTCTATGACTTTCTGATAACTTTGGAGCATCTTGGGAGTATTATCTACTATTCTTCATCCCAAATCCGCCTGTAGGGGGACAGGCCCGACCTAAGACTACACGCAAGAGTGACCCTAGGCCCTAGGCGAGGGAGACCTTTGTACGGAGAAAGCATCTATACACCACCACCTTGTTCTGCGAAACCAAAGCTTTGGTGCGCGGCTTGAGGGGGCCGCGGGTAGGCCAAATCCAAGCGCGCAAGCCAGTGCTGGGGGCACCCGTGTGAGCCCGCACCAGCGCAGCTGCCCCGATACGCAACGCGCAGCACGCAGCGTAGGTATCGATTTGGAGCTCAGCACGCAGACTGAAAACGTAGGTATGACGCGATGAGCTCGCCAAAGCGTGGGACCATACGCAGAGACAGCACGCAGCGTATTGACACAAGCGTTTGAAGCACGGTGCGTGCTGCGTTTCCAAACGGGCGTATGAAGGCAGCTAAGCGCAACAAGGGCCACTCCGGCGAAGGGGTACTCGTACCTCCTACGCGTGGCCGACACCTGCCCACCTCGGATGTCGCCCCCGATCGCAATACATTAACACGGACGGTTGAAGCACAGCGCGTGCTGCGTTTTAAAACGGGCGCATCGAGGCAGCTGAGCGCAACAAGGGCCACCCTGGCGAGGAGGCTCTCTTCGAGTACGGGGTCGACTACAGAATTGATTCACCCCAGAATTGATCTGTTCGTCGAGTCCACGAAAAATACGTAGAATACTCCATAGAGCATTCTATGCACTCGTTCGCAGATTCGACGGGAAATCAATCTTGGGGTAAGTAAGCCAATTCTGTCGTCGATCCCTTACTCGAAGTCTCACGCGTGGCCGACCCCTGTCCTCCTCGAGAAAGCCGCCCCCGCCTGACCCGGCCAGAGAGCCAGATGGGGTCCTAGTAGATGGGGTCGAAGGATCGCGCCGCATCGCCAATGCGTCGCCGATGTATCGACGATGCATCGGCGATCCATCGGCGACGCCAGCGGCATATCGGCGGCGTCGGCGAGGAGAAAATCGGGCTCCGCATCGAGCCGCATCGCCGATGTATCAGCGATGCGCCGCGATCCTCCGACCCCATCTATAGGGAACCGAACTGTATACACCTACGCTTTTTCCGACCCTGCGCTGAAATTCGCACAGGAACGAGGATCCTGGTGTATACGGGGTCCTGGTGCATACATGCTCCGTTGCTTCCCCTGGGAAAGCGGGGGAACAGTACCTACGCCACACCACCCCGACGTCGCCCCCGACCCTCCAGAAGCCCTGGGACTGAAAAAAACAGCCCGCCACTGGCAATGTATGTGTTCCAGTTTCCGAATCTGCTCCGACCCCATCTGGGTGGCCCCAGAGGAGCGGCGGGCAGAGGCGCGGTCGCGTGTCTCCCTCGCCATCGCTCGGACGTCCATTTTGTGTCTTTTTTTCGGTTTCGTGCGTGGCTCTTTCGCCAAGTGATCAAGGATGCTCCTCGATGGTCCTCGCCAAAAAAAGCACACGTCCAAGCGATGCCAGGATCTGGGTGGCCTCAGAGGAGCGGCGTGCAGAGGCGCGGTCGCGTGCCTCCCGGGAGGCCCCCCTGCCCGTGCGGAGGCGCGCCGCCGCCCTCGGCCGCCTCTCTCTCCCCAGGGCCGGCCTCCTCGGCAGCCCCCCCCCCCCCCCCCTCGCGCAGCGGGCAGGGGGAGGGGCGAGGGCCAAGATGTTCCAACCCCCCTCTCCCCCCCTCCCCCTCCTCCTCCTCCTCCTCCTCCTCCTCCTCCTCCTCCTCCTCCCCCTCCTCCGCCTCCTCCTCCTCCTCCTCCTCCTCCTCGCCTCCTCCCACCTCCTCCTCCGCTCCTCCTCCTCCTCCTCCGCCTCCTCCCACCTCCTCCTCCTCCCACCTCCTCCTCCTCCTCCCCCCTCCTCCTCCTCCTCTTCCTCCTCCTCCTCCTCCTCCTTTAGTCCTTTAGCCTTGACCACCAGCAAGGACCTTGAGCACCAAGAGAGCGTCGCAAGACTGGAGGGCTTTCGCGTGGCGGGCCCTGGGAGGCGATGCTCGCTCGACGCTATGCCAGCGCGTCGGGCAGACACTGTTTCGATACTTTTCTGGGCGCTCGAGACTCCAGATCTCATGATAATGGGGGTGGCCTACTTTTTTGGGGAGGTCGAACGGGACTCGTCAAACACCAAACAAGATGGTGGGGGTTCTCGATGCTGGACCCGTTGTTGTACCGTTCTTGGGGAGCAGTCCCAGACGCGCTGTCAACTACTCTATTGATCCCCCCCCTTTGTGAGATTTGGAATAATTCTGACATGTGGCCCTTAAGTTAGAGGCCTCCTGAATGGGGTCCGAGTAGGTGGGGTCGGAGGATCGCGCCGCATCACAGATGCATCGGCGATACGTCGCCGATGCATCTGTGATGTATTGGCGACGTGGGCGATACATCGGCGCCACCGGCGCGTAGAACATGGGGCCCTATATCGAGCCACATCGGCGATGCATCGGCGATGCGGCGCGATCCTCCGACCCTATCTGCTCCGACCCCATCTGGGATGCCTAGATACTTGCCATCGCTCGGACTTCCATTCCCCGTGCATTGTTTGATCTCGTGCGTGTTCTTTTTTGCTGGCCGATCGAAGATGCTCCTTGATGGTCCTCGTCGAGAAAAATTGCACACGTCCGGGCGATGCCAAGGATGGGCACGATGGGAACAGCGTAAGGCGAGCGTGGCGAACCCCCTGCTGGGGGCGAGGCGCAAAGGGGGCGAGAGGAAGGCAAGAGGGTGCAAAGCCCCCGCCCCCCCACTGAGCAGGGACCGACCGTCCCGGCACTCCTGCAGCCCGACCACGACATGTTGTTGCATCTTCGGGTGGCCTCGTCTCTCCCGTCGCGCCCCTATCCGCGTCGAATCCGTGTCGAATCCATGTCGGACTCGTCGCATCCGCGTCGGATCAACGACGAATCCACGTCGAATCCACGCCCAGTCCGCTCCGAGTCCGCATCGAGCCCGCGTCGGGCACAAGAAAAGACACCCATTCTGGGGACAGACGAGGTCCCCCGAAGGAGGAGGAGGAGGAGGAGGAGGAGGAGGAGGAGGAGGAGGAGGAGGAGGAGGAGGAGGAGAGAGGGGGGAGGAGGAGGAGGGGGAGGGGGAGGAGGACAAGCTAGGTGCGCTCGCGTCATATCTGACGTCCTACCCCACCCTCCCATCCCTTACCATGGCGCTGATTTTCTCTATCCGCGGACGCGTGTCGTAGCGGACCTGTGGCTCCGCGCGCGCGTGCGTAGTGGGTGGTGGTGCACGTGCGTGCGTGCGTGCGTGTGTGCGTGGTTGTCGCGGTGGTGGTGGTGGTGGTGTGGTGGTGGTGGTGGTGGTGGTGTGGTGGTGTGGTGGTGGTGGTGGTGGTGGTGGTGCTGGTGGTGGTGGTGTTGGTACTGGTGCTGGTGCTGGTGGTGGTTGTGGTGGTGGTGGTGGTGGTGGTGGTGGTGGTGGTGGTGGCGGTGCGGCGCGGTGGTGGCGGGCGGATGGGCGCGCGAGAAAAAGGCCCGCGCTGGGGCGAGAACGCCGTCCTGAACGACGGAGGCCAAACACCGATCCGAAAATGAGGCCCACGCTGCAGCGGGAGCACGATTCGGAACGATTCGGGAGCAGAAATGAGGCCGGCGCCTCAACGAGAGCATTTTTTGGGAAAAAATGACGCCGGCGCCTCAGCGAGAGTCGTTTCCCGGGATTTCCCGGGCATCCTGTGTGTAAAAAAACAGTACGCGGAGGGTGCGCGGCCATCACCCGGACGCCACAGGGGAAGAGGGAGAGTATTTTCATATTGAGTAATTGTGGAGGAGGAGGAGGAGGAGGAGGAGGAGGAAGAGGAGGCATGGACGAAGGACCCGTGCGTGGGCCCGGCGCGTGGGCACGCCAGATCCACGGAGCGGGGAAGGGTGCCGCCCCCGAAGCACAGGAGCCTGTGCCGCCCGATCTGGCCTCAGGTCGGGCGTGTCCCCCTGCAGGCGGATTTGGGACGACAAATAAAACGTACCCCAAAACATACCCCAAACAAAGATGAACCATCGTCCAAACATACCCCCCCCAAACAAAAAACAATACATACTCCAAACATACCCCAAAGCATACTCCAAACATACCCCCCAAGTACCCCCATAATACAAAAAAATAGTTAGTCAACCGTCGTCCCCAGGCTCTAGTTTAAACAACTTTAGGATATATTCCTCCTGTAGAAGGGACAGGCCCGACCAGGCCTCAGGTCGGGCGCGTCCCCCCACAGGCGGACTTTGGCCGAAAAACTGAAACAATATTCCCAAACATGTTCCAACCATATTCGAACATGGTCAAACACAGCCCAAAAATAATGTAAAACAGATGCCCCCCAAAATACTCCCCAAATGCTACAAGCCATTCCAAATATGATCAGAAGTCGCCCCCTGACCATTTTTGTGAACCATTTTTGGATACTCCTCCTGCAGATAGGGACAGGCCCGACTTCAGCACACTGGCCATCGCTCGGACGTCCACTCCCTGTGCTTTTGTTCGGGTTCGTGCGTGGCTTTTTCGCCAAATGATCAAGGATGCTCCTCGATGGTCCTCGCCGAGGAAAAACGCACACGTCCGAGCGATGCCAAGCACACAGGAGCCCGTGCCGCACGACCTGGCCACGGAGCGCGCCGCCGCTGTCGGGAAGGCGGCGGGGGCCCGCCGCCGACCCGCGCGCCTCTCGTGGGCTCCACGGCCCCCCTCTGCCGCTTCGGCAGGTCGGAAGGCCGCCTCACCGTCGCCCCGTGTTCCCCCCCGTTGCCCTCCTCCTCCTCCGCCTCACCGTCGCCCCGTGTTCCCCCCCGTTGCCCTCCTCCTCCTCCTCCTCCTCCTCCAACTTCCTCCTCCTCCTCCTCCTCTCCTCCTCCTCCTCCTCCTCCTCCTCCTCCTCCTCCAACTCCTCCCCCTCCTCCTCCAACTCCTCCCCCTCCTCCCCCTCCTCCTCCTCCTCCTCCTCCTCCTCCTCCTCCTCCTCCTCCTCCTCCTCCTCTGGATCCCGCGCCCCCCGTCCGCCGTCTCAGCGCGTCAGAAGGCCGCTCCCATCGCCCCTTGTTTCCCCTTTGTTCGGGGACACGTACGACTCGGGTACGGGGGACTCGGGTTGGCCTGACGGGGCCACCATAAAAATGACGGGGCCAAATCTGAAATGTGACGCGGGCTCCCGCTGCAGACATCCCACGAAAAACGGGACCGTCACAATCCAGGACGCGCTCCTCAATAAACGTTGGCAAACCCGAGTTCCGGCTTGCTCGAGTCTTAGGTTTCCTCGATGTTTGCCCGGCGCGGACCTCTGCCAGGGGGTCGCCCACGCGGATCTTCCCCGCGGCCGCCAGCAGGCGCGAGGTCAGCTGCGGCTCGATGCCCTCCTGCACCAGGAGCCTGCTCGTCGCGCAGCAGACCTGCCCGGCGTTGCAGAAGATGCCCAGCATGGCCCAGTCAACAACCTCCACGAGGGGGAGGGGATGACGGGAGAGGAGGCGAGGGTTAGAGGGAGGAGGGCGGGAGGGGAGGAGAGACTGAGAGGAGAGGGGACGATGAGAGGACGAGAGGGGAGATCGAGAGGAGAGGATGAGGAGGGGGTGAGAGGAGTGGGTGGGGCGACGGGCGATGGTTGTGGAAAGAAGGGTCTTCCCAGCAGGCGGGGAGTCGCCGGGGGAGGGCCGCTTCTCTAGAACCCGCCCCTCCGATCGGCGCCAGACAAGTCTCAGAAACAGAAGCAGCGGCATAAATATACACTTTGGGCGTTCCGCGCGGACTGCTTGGATCTTCGCTGGGCCCCCCTCCCAAGCGCGCGGAGCGCGCCAGGGGCGGCGCCAGAGGCGCCGTCGGGCCGGCCCCAGCGCGGATCCGAGAAAACGCGCGGAGCGCCAAAGGTCTGTGTTTGTGCCGTGTTATTCTTCGTCGACGCTCACCGCCAGACAGACTTTTTTTGTTTGTTTTTTGTTGTTATTTTTTTCTGCGCCACGGCAATGCGCAGAAGAAATCAGAAAACGGTGCCGGCGCGCGTGCGCTCCCCCCACGCAGACCAGCCTCGGACGAACCGGCAACTGGCTGCTAAGGGGGGCGGCGCAGAAGAGCTCAAGCAACGGCCGGCGAGCGCGTGCGCCCCCGGGTAGACCAGCCTCGGACGAACCGGCAACTGGCTGCCGGGGGCGCTGCGCAGTCGGGGGGGGCTCTCAAGGCTTCTTGGAGTCCCTGCGCAAGGCGGTCGACACTCCTTGGTCGAGCAGTCCGCACTCTGCCGCGGCAAGGGGGGGTGTGACCATCCGAGGGGAGCTCCCACCTGCCGTGCGGGGTGCCGTGCACCCGCGGCGGCAGCGCTCGCCTTCTCGGGGCCCCCCCCCTCGCCAGACGGCGAATGACCCAAACACTTGCATCACACCAAACGTCTGCGAGCGCTGGGTGGCGGCGGGCCAGCACACGCAGATCACCGCCAGACAGACTTGGATAGCAAAACCAAAAATTGAGGGATGAAAAAACGACCCTACCCTGGGTTACAAGTGCGTGGTCTGTAAACCTCCTGGGACCCCCCAAAGCCTAGAGCCGCCAGGACGCGGCACATCACGCAGGGTTTACCCTGTCAGCCCACAGGAGTTTCAGCGCACAGCGCCTCGTAAACCAGGGTAGGGGCGTTTTTTTTATCCCCTTGAAGAAACGGAAACGTATCCATTTGCGTGTCCGTGGGTGCTATCTCCGCCAGTGCCGGACCCGCCGGACCCCTCTCTCCGCCAGCGCGCGGGGCTCACCGTGGGGCCGCGCCGAGGGCGCCACCACGAGGAGCGGGCCGCGTCCGGCGCTGGCGGAGCAACCGCCTGAGGACGTCGACAGTTTCTACGGCCGGACTCGATTGGACAGGATCGACACGCGAGAGGACACAAGACCCTTCCGAGGGCCACATTGCCGCAGGAATGTAGGAAGCACGGGTCGCGAGACACAGGACACAAGGGTACCCTTGATTTGACAGGGTCGACCTACTATAATCTGGGCCGACTGTATATGTGGGTCTTCTTCTTCTTGTTCTTCTTCTTCTTCCTCCTCTTCGTTGGCGGCGAGCGCGGGGGGGAACTGAGAAGGGGCGGGCCTTCTCAGGAGGCTCGGACGTCCCCCGGCCTTCTGACAGGTGTTCTCTGAGCCTTCTCCGAAGACACACAGAACACCTCTCACATGGCGCGATGGAGGGCTTCTGAGAAGTCCCGCCCCAAGCTGAGCAGGCCTTGCCCTTCTCATACTCCCCCCTCGCTCGCCGCCGCGAGTTGGGCAACCAACGAGGACGAGGCGGAGGAGGAGCAGGCCCGGCGGCGCGCCCAGGGGGGGAAGGCAGAGAGGGCGGGCCCTCTCGGAAGGCTCAGCAGGTCTTCCGAGGAGCCTTCTGGGCCTCCTCCGCGACCCCCGCTGCTCCTCAGAAGGCCGGGGGGGGGGATCCTGCGAAGCCCCGCCGCCTGCTCAGGAGGCCTGCCCCCTCTCGCTCCCCCTTTCGCTTCGCCGCCGAGGAGGAAGGCACGATGGGCCCACCGCGTCCAGGTATTGCTCCGCGTCGTCGAAGACGATGAAAGCGGACTTGCCCCCGAGCTCCAGGGACGTGGGGCGCAGCTTGCTCGCCGAGGCCTCGAGCATCCTGCGGCCCGCCGCGCAGCTGCCCGTGAAGGACACCTTGTCGAGCAGAGGATGGTCGATGAGCGCCTGGCCCGTGCTGCCGCCGTCGGGCAGCGCCTCGTGTAGGGCGAGGCCAGGACGGAACGGGCACGATGCCCATCCTCCTCCTCCTCCTCCTCCTCCTCCTCCTCCTCCTCCTCCTCCCCCTCCTCCTCCTCCTCCTCCTCCTCCTCCTCCTCCTCCTCCTCCTCCTCCTCCTCCTGCTCCTCCTCCTCCTCCTCCCCTCCTCCTCCTCCTCCCTCCTCCTCCTCCTCCTCGGGGAGAGGAGGGCGACATGGGCGCCGAAGGCCGACGGGCGGCTGCTGCTGGGCTGGCGCCCGGTGGCCCCCGAGGCCCGGCGGTGCGGGAGGGCGTCCGGGGCACCGCGGCCTTTCCAGAGAATGCCCCAGAAGGCTCGGGGGCGCTATGGAACGACGCATCCCCGCCGCGCAGCCCCGCGGGATCGGGAGGCGGAGGAGGAGGAGGAGGAGGAGGAGGAGGAGGGAGGAGGAGGAGGAGGGGGAGGAGGAGGAGGGGGAGGAGGAGGAGGAGGAGGAGGAGGGGGAATGAGGAGGGGGAGGAGGAGGAGGAGGAGGAGGAGGAGGAGGAGGAGGAGGAGGGAGGGGGAGTTGGAGGAGGAGGAGGAGGAGGAGGAGGGAGGAGGAGGAGGAGGAGGAGGAGAGGAGGGGGAGGAGGACGAGGGGGAGGAAGAGGAGGCGGAGGCGGAGGAGGAGCGAAACCAAGTGCCCAGGTACCCTCGCATCGTGAAAGAGAACGCGACGGCCCGTGTTGGGCAACTCTGGCATCTGGGCCTCCCGCCGCTGGCGTCGTGTTCCACGAGAGCGTGGAGAAGCGCCCTGGCCAGGCCCGCGGGCCAATGAAAAACGACTCGGGATGAGCAGCTGGTCAATTGGCATGGGTCGAGGCTCCTGAGGGGTCCACATGGAGAACCGACAGCGCGGCGCTGGGGGTCCGGGAACGAAGCCGCAGCGTCGACTGGCAGCAATTCCTGATACTCGGGGCCAGACCCGCTGCCAACATCAAGGCGGACGTAACACTTTTGACGGCGATCGCCGCTGGCCCGACAGTAGCCGCTGCCGATCCAGGACAACATTGTCCATGGGGCGTCGCCTGCATCAATGCTGCCCCCAGACGTCCCGCGTCATTGTTTTATGTCATAGCTCCCCCCCCGACCTCTGGACCCCACCCCGCAGGGTTATTTTTTCTTCCAGGCCATCGTCTTGACGGTCGGTCCAGGGGCCACCCGCCCAAACTGGCCGCTGGATGCGCAAATTCCGACGCGACGTTTCCGAGTCGCTGGGAATCTGCCGTCCCCACCCTCACCCTCACCCTCGGATCTGTCCTGATGTGTGTGTGTGTGTGCGCGCGTGTGTGTGTGTGCGCGCGCGTGCGTGTGTGTATGTGTGTGTATGTGTATGTGTATGTGTATGTGTATGTGTATGTGTATGTGTATGTGTATGTGTATGTGTTTGTGTATGTGTATGTGTGTGTATGTGTATGTGTATGTGTATGTGTATGTGTATGTGTGTGCGCGCGTGTGTGTGTGTGTGTGTGTGTGTGCGCGCGCGGGTGTGTGTGCGCGCGGGTGTGTGTGTGTGCGCGCGCGGTGTGTGTGTGTGTGGCGCGCGCGGATGTGTGGTGTGTCGCGCGTCGCGTGTGTGTGTGTGCGCGCGCGCGTGTGTGTGTGTGTGCGCGCGCGGGTTGTGTGGGTGTGGTGTGTGGGCGCGCGCGCGGTTGTGTGTGTGTGCGCGCGCGGGTGTGTGTGTGTGTGTGGTGTGTGTTTGTGCGCGCGCGGGGGTGGTGTGTGTGTGTGCGCGCGCGGATGTGTGTGTGTGTGTGTGTGCGCGCGCGCGGGTGTGTGTGTGTGTGCGCGCGCGGGTGTGTGTGTGTGTGCGCGCGCGCGTTTGTGTGTTTGTGTGTGTTTGTGTGTGTGTGTTTGTGTGTGTGTGTTTGTGTGTGTGTTTGTGTGTGTGTTTGTGTGTGTGTGTGTTTATGTGTGTGTTTGTGTGTGTGTGTGTTTGTGTGTGTGTTTGTGTGTGTTTGTGTGTGTTTGTGTGTGTGTGTTTGTGTGTGTGTGTGTTTGTGTGTGTTTGTGTTTGTGTGAGTGTGTGTGTGTGTGTTTGTGTTTGTGTTTGTGTTTGTGTTTGTGTTTGTGTTTGTGTTTGTGTGTTTGTGTGTTTGTGTGTTTGTGTGTTTGTGTGTTTGTGTGTTTGTGTGTGTGTGCGTGTGTGTGTGTGTGTGTAAGTGTGTGTGTGTGTGTGCGTGTGTGTGTGCGCCGTGTGCGCCGTGTGCGCCGTGTGCGCTGTGTGCGCCGTGTGCGCCGTGTGCGCCGTGTGCGCTGTGTGCGCTGTGTGCGCTGTGTGCGCTGTGTGCGCTGTGTGCGCTGTGTGCGCTGTGCGCGTGTGCGCGTGTGCGCGTGTGCGCGTGTGCGCGTGTGCGCGTGTGCGCGTGTGCGCGTGTGCGCGTGTGCGCGTGTGTGCGCGTGTGCGCGTGTGCGCGTGTGCGCGTGTGCGCGTGTGCGCGTGTGCGCGTGTGCGCGTGTGCGCGTGTGCGCGCGTGCGCGTGTGCGCGTTTGCGCGTGTGCGCGTGTGCGCGTGTGCGCGTGTGCGCGCGCGCGCGTGTGCGCGTGTGCGCGTGTGCGCGTGTGCGCGTGTGCGCGTGTGCGCGTGTGCGCGTGTGCGCGTGTGCGCGTGTGCGGGTGTGCGCGTGTGCGCGTGTGCGCGTGTGCGCGTGTGCGCGTGTGCGCGTGTGGCGTGTGCGCGTGTGCGCGTGTGCGCGTGTGCGCGTGTGCGCGTGTGCGCGTGTGCGCGTGTGCGCGTGTGCGCGTGTGCGCGTGTGCGCGTGTGCGCGTGTGCGCGTGGGCGCGTGTGCGCGTGTGCGCGTGTGCGCGTGTGCGCGTGTGCGCGTGTGCGCGTGTGCGCGCGTGCGCGTGTGCGCGTGTGCGCGTGTGCGCGTGTGCGCGTGTGCGCGTGTGCGCCGCGTGTGCGCCGCGTGTGTGCCGCGTGTGCGCCGCGTGTGCGCCGCGTGTGCGCGTGTGCTCGTGTGCGAGTGTGCGCGTGTGCGCGTGCGCGTGTGCGCGTGTGCGCGTGCGCGTGTGCGCGTGTGCGCGTGCGCGCGTGTGCGCGTGTGCGCGTGTGCGCGTGTGCGCGTGTGCGCGTGTGCGCGTGTGCGCGTGTGCGCGTGTGCGCGTGTGCGCGTGTGCGCGTGCGCGCGTTCGCGCTCGTTCGCGCAGCGTTTCGCGCGCGTGTGGCCGCGTGGCGCGCGTGTGGCGTGCGGTGTGCGTGTGCTTGTGCGTGGTGCGTGTCGTGTGCGTGTGGCGTGGTGCGTGTGCGTGTGCGTGTGCGTGTGCCGTGTGCGTGTGCGTGTGCGTGTGCGGGTGCGTGTGCGTGTGCGTGTGCTTGTGTTTGGTGCGTGTGTTTGGTTTGTGTTTGTGTTTGTGTTTGTGTTTGTGTTTGTGTTTGTGTTTGTGTTTGTGTTTTTGTGTTTTTGTTTGTGTTGTGTTTGTGTTTGTTTGTGTGTGTGTGTGTGTGTGTGTGTGTGTGTGTGTGTGTGTGTGTGTGTGTGTGTGTGTGTGTGTGTGTGTGTGTGTGTGTGTGTGTGTGTGTGTGTGTGTGTGTGTGTGTGTGTGTGTGTGTGTGTGTGTGTGTGTGTGCGGTGTGTGTGTGCGCTCCTCCCTCCCTTTGCCCCCCCTTTCCTTCTTTTCGCCCGTTCCTTGTCTCTCCAGGCGGGCGCGCGCGCGCCTGACGGTGGGGGTCGGTGGCTCAGGTCCCACGGCCGCGCGCCCGCTTCCTCCGCTTTCCGGTTCCTCTCCCCTCCTCCTCCTTTTCCCCCCTCCGGGGTATCCCCCTTAATCGTCAGGCGTCCTTGCCCGCGCTGGGCGTTTCAACCCTCCCTTCCCCCTGGCTTTGGACCGGGGAGGCGGGGTCGGACAGGTGGTGTACAGCCAAGGACTTCAACACACGCACCTGTAGATGGAAATGCGTGCATGCGAATGTATACTCCGCGGCCACGGTTTCTCAAGCCAATCTTTGACCGTGAGAGAGGATGCTCACGGAGACATTCACTTGTCTCGTGTCGGTCGGCAACTTCTGCCTCCTTGCGAGCAATTGGTGGAGCCCGCCCGTGCAGCCTGCACCAGCGTGTGGGTGCACCTGCCACTGCTCCGAGGGCAGCTCCTGGTGGCCCCCTGTGCTCATCGGCATCCTGAGTGTGACCACGCTCCTCGGGCTGGGCCCAAGACTGTTGTGGCGGGCGCCGCAGGCGCAGGTGCAGGCGACCGACGTGAAGCAGCGGCGCGGCCAGATCACGGCCGGTCCGCCGACTAACGTCGGCTAGTCATGGCTCTGGCACGGCCTCGCGCGGGGCAGCGCTACTGGGTGCTGTTTGACCGCGCTGAGGGGCTGTGGCACGAGCGTTTGTGCCTGTTCGAGTACGAGACTGGGATCATCGTTGCCACCCCAGACGGGGACATCTATGCAGAGGAGTACACGGACTACGAGGACCTGGCCCTCTCAGGGCCTCAGGGTGGCGTGCCTCGCCGCTTGTACCCACGACGGCGCTACCACTTCGACCCGGACGACCTGGACGAGGACAGCCAGCTGCGCGTGGACGCCGCCCGCCAGCTGGAGAGGCTGCTCGCGAGCGGCGAGTACCCGGCGGCGCCGGGGACGCGGCGGCGTTGGTGCCCGCCGAGGACGGGGCGGCGGCTGACGCTGGCGGCGGCACGGCCACACCACGCAGCGGACTACCGAAGGAGCTCGATGATGCACCTCGTGGGACGTCCTGGTACCAGCTCACTGACGGTTTCGGCCAGCGTATGCATGACCAGGTGACGGTAGGGCTGAACGTTCGGTGCATCACGGACGGGCGCACTGGACTTCTCATCCGCGACGGTGAGACTGTGCCGGTGACCGCGCTGCGACCGCAGCGAGCTGGAGACGATGACGTGAGGACGCTGCCGGTGCAGTACAACCCGCGGGGGGAGAGGACGCGCTCGTTCCAGAGCGCGCGGGGCGCGTTCACCGAGGAGACCTTCGACGACTTCCCTGTCCGCGGCCCGCGGACGACCGGCTGGCTGATGGAAGCGTTCCACAGGAGTGGTCAGAGTCCTGTGGCTCGCCACCACTGGTGGAGACAGATGCTGGGCGCGACGACGGCGGATCCTGGGATGGACGACCACCTCTTCCTCTCGGAGCTGTTCGAGCTCGGCGGGCAGTACGACCAGCTGAACCTGCCGAACAGTGCCGCCTTCGAGGCGATCGCCCGCCGCTACCAGCTGTGGGAGGAGAGGTACGCCGAGAAGTTGAAGCAGGTGACGGAGGGGCCAGGAGCCGCCGCAGGCGTGGCGGCGGAGCGGCACCTCTTCCTCGGCGTCGCGTCTGGCAGTGCCGCGCTAGTGGCACCAAGCCTGGCCGAATACGTAGCTGAGAAGATGGAGCAGGAGAGCAAGATCTTGAAGGAGCGCCGCAAGGGGCGCGAGGAGCGCAACCTGGCGGCGCTCGCGTCTTCTGGCTCTGGCGGCGGCGGGGGCGGCGGCGCGGCAGGCGCAGCAGCACTCGACGGCCAGGGCGGGAAGAAGAGGCCGCCCAAGAAGCAGAAGTCCGACGAGGGCTAGCTGCTCGTGGGCATCCGCATCATCCGGTCGCCTTGCGCGTGACGCCCCATCGTGTGCGAGGCTAACTTTTTTAGGGGGGCCATCGGCGTCGGCCATGGCTTTACAGTCACATCGCGATGTGTTCCCCCTTCCCTGCGCTCCTCCACCGCCTGGCCTGTGCTCCACGGGCCCTTCTTCTCGGTGGCTGCAGGAAGGGATTCGAGCGCTGAACTCGATCGGGGGTCGTGGTCAGACGACGCCAGCTCAGCCGACGACAGTTTTGCAGGCGCACGCCTTGTCTCGTCTTGCTGGCATGTATGCCAGGATACCCGAGCCTCCGAGTGATTTGACCGTCCAGAGTGCCGTTAAGGCAACTTTGGGAACCGACCCTGGTTACGGTGAGGACCTGACCAGCGGGAGCCACGCACTTTACCAACGGGGCAAGGTATCCTTGCCTCGCGTCGCTACTGGGGCCACACGTCTCGAGGATGTGTTGCCGGCCTCGGATCGCTCTCTGTTGGTTGGGGAATCCACGGGGCTTCTGATGGATGCCGCTTCTGCCGACAACTGTTTCGCAGGAAAGCTGGCCTTCGACCCCCGACTTGCGACGGGCAAGAAGGCTTACGGGCGATTTTTGAGTGATCCCCTGTCTCGTCAGATGCTGGAGGTCGGGGAGGCCACAAAGTTAGTCACCCCCTTTTTTGTCAGGAAAAAAGACGGTGCCTTGCGTCTCATATTCGACACGCGAGCAGCTAACACCTCGTTTTCGCCCCCTCTGTATACCTCTCTCGCTGCTGCTCAGGCGCTCAGCTCGATGGAAATCCCGACTGGGGCTTCTCTGCACTGTGCCCAAGGGGACGCCACTTGCTGTTTTTATCAGTTTCTACTGCCTGATGACCTGCGAAGCTTCTTCGGGCTTCCTCCAGTGCATTGGTCCGACCTTCCCGTCCGGGTAAGGCACGCCCTTGGCCCGGCCGATCCCTCTGGGTTGGTCAGGTTCAGGCTCCGTGTTGTACCTATGGGATGGTCGTGGGCAGTGTACTTCGTCCAGTCTGCAATGAAGAACCTTCTGGCCCCCGCCGTACCCAGGGATCCCTTCCTTACCCAGCACAGACCCTTGGACCCCCTCTCTGAGCAAGGCGCCGTCAGTGCTATCTACGTTGATAACTTTGCGTCTCTCTCGCTTTCAGCCGCACGCTCGAGTGACGGGCTTGCACGTATGCTGTCCGCCGTGAAAGGCGCTGGTCTCGACGCTGACGCGGAGCCCGACGGCGCCCCCTTTCTTGGGTATTGCTTGGACGAGTCCGGGTCGTATTGGGTCCCTTCGGGGCGTAAGTTTTGGAGGATCTCCCTGGCTTTGAAGGCGGTCTTTCAGGGCAGGGTTCGTCGGACTGGACGTCAGATCGCTCGTCTTGTAGGGCATGTGTCGGCTGTATTTCAACTTCGTCCCGAGCTGCTCTCTATCTTTTCGGCAGCTTACACCTTTAGTACACGTTTTCGGCACCGACCTGCGTGGGTCTGGAGCTCAGTTAGACACGAATGCTGGCTGGCATGGGCTCTCCTTCCCACGGCTGTTGCTCGGCTGGATACTCCCTGGAGCTCCGAGGTGACCTCAGTGGATACTTCACTTCACGGGTTCGGTGTCACGGCGTGCCAGATCGAGTCTAGCAGTGTCGGCAAGGTCGGGCGAGTCAGCGAACGTTGTCGATTTCGTGGAGAGCTGCGAAAGTGCTCCAGGCCGCGGGACGTCCTGGAGGATTTGGAGGTGCCCTTCTCGTTCCTCGCTCGTGGGTCCGATCTCGACTTCCTGGAGACTGGTACCCTGACGGAGTTCCCCGAGGTTCCCGAGTGGCTTGCCAAGGACTCCCCCTGGTGTGTCATTGCTGCGAAGAGGTGGAGGAGGAAGGAGAAGATCCTGAACCTGGAGGCGGAGGCGGCCCTGTGGGCTGCACGGCGCATCAGTCGTGACAGACGTCTGGGAGATCACCGTCACCTCATCCTCAGCGACTCGATGGCCTGGGTATGTGCCGCCACTAAAGGGAGGGGGAGCCCCTGGTTCCTCCTACGTCGGTGTCGCGAATTGTGTGCACTTGCCGTTGCCTCAGGATGCCGCTTTGTTTATCGATGGATCCCCTCAGAGTGGAACAGCGCTGATGCCCCGAGCCGAAGGTACGACCCTGTCAGCGAGCACCATGCCAAGTACTTCTATGTCAGCAACCCAGATGGCTCGGAGTGTACTCCGGGCCACGACACGCCCACCTCGCCTTCGAAGTCTCTGGAGGCAGTCACCGGCGATGGAGTGCCGCACCCTCCGGGCCTCCGGCGCCTCGCGGCCGCGGTCCCGTTCGCCTACGGCTTGCCGGGGCTCTGGGAGGCCGCGGGCGGCGGTCAGGCTGGACACGGCGCATCTGCCGACGACGTCGCCTGCAAGCCCGTCTCGAGTGACCGCCCGCCTCTCGGACGTTCCCACCGCCAGCCTGCCCGCGGTTCTCCGCCACTTGGGGCCGGGGCCGGCAGGGAGCGCCGAGGCGCGCTTCGCGCGCGGGGCGGGCCACGCTCGGAGGCGGCAGGCGCGGCAGGCGATGCGCCAGGCACCGTCGACCTTGATCGGGAGTGCGGGGCGGGCAGCCGCCCGCCTGGCCGAGCTGGGCTTCCGCGTGTCCGCGCTGGGAGCTGCTTCGGTCACGCCGGGGACGCAGGACACCTACCTGACACACCTGGAGATGCTGCTAAGGTGGCTGATGCTGAGGCAGGCTCCGACGCTCGACAAGGACGAGTGGGATGTTCTCCTCGCGAGCTACATCGAGCACCTGTACGACTCGGGGGCGACCGAGAACGCCGGGGGGACGACCCTGGCTGCAGTGCGGTGGGCAGAGCCCGCCATTCCGCGGCCGCTCCGCCGAGGCCTCCCCCTGGCCTCGGCCGCGCTGGCCGGCTGGAGGCGGGCCGAGCCAGGCCGGACGAGGCTGCCGATGCCGCGCGAGCTGGCTGTCGCGATCGCCCTGGACCTGTGCGACTGCGGCTTGCCGAGCCCGGGGTTCTTCGTGATGCTGGTCTTCGAGACGCACATGCGGCCCAGCGAGGCCCTGTCTCTGCAGCGCTTCCAGCTCGTCCCACCATCCGGCCACGGGCTTCCCGGGACCAAGGGGCGGTGGGCTGTGCTGATCCGGGCCCTCGAGCTCGGCAGGCCTGGCAAGACAGGCGACTTCGACGGCAGCGTGAGCCTCGACCTTCCGCGACACCAGCTGCTGGTGGGAGGCCTCGAGGAGATCTTCCGCAGGCGGGGCGAGCGGGACCCAGTGTTTCTCTTCGACTACGTGACGCTGCTCAGGCACTGGCGAGCGACGTGCAAGCGGCTCGGCCTCGAGCACCTGCACCTGACACCTTATTGCCTGCGGCGTGGCGGGGCGTCAGAGGATCGGGCAAGCAACTCTCGTCCCATGCTGGAGGTGATGAAGCGCGGAGGCTGGAAGACCTACTCGAGCCTGGCCAGGTACGAGAAGCACGCGCGGCTCGGCCTGGTGGTGCAGCGTGCCGGAGCGGCTGTAGTCTCAGGTGCCCGACGTCGCGAACCAGAGTTGACCAAGCTCTTTCTCGCAGCATGGCAGCCGCCAAACGGGATGCCACGATCGGCCACTGTAAGGTCTTCCTCGACATCTTCTCAGGCACTGGTCCTGTCGGACGCTTTCTGAGAGCTCGAGGTCATGGAGTCATCTTTTTTGAGAAAAAGCTGGGACCTCGGCACGACGTCAGGCGCACCCAGGTCTTTGCTACAATTATAGGGTGGCTCCGCGCGGGGCGGCTGTGGGGCTTTTGTCTGGCCACGCCTTGCGTGACCACCACGCGAGCTCGTCAGAACGGTGCCGCAGGTATGCCACCTCCGTTGCGGTCCAACGAGCATCTTCGTGGGCTGCCAGGACTCAGTGACAAGCTCAAGGAGCAGGTGCGCGAGGCCAACACCCTCATCGACCGTGCAGGCTTGCTGCTAAAAACCGCCGAGGGCTTGGGAGTGCCGCGCGGGGAGGAGAATCCAGCCACTTCTTTGCTGTGGCTCTTTCCTGTGCGCCAACGGCTGCTGACAAGGTGGTCGCATCCCAATGTTGACTTTTGCTCCTGCGGACTGCCTGTCCGCAAGCGCACTCGCTTACTTTTTCTTCACGCTGGAAGTCCTGATGCATCTCATTTTGTCTGCTCTGGTCGTCGTGGCATCTGCAAATTTTCTGGAAGGCCACATCTAGTAATCAGTGGAAAGTTGCGCGGTGCTTGGGTGTCCAAGCTAGCAGAGCCATATCCTCCTACCATAGCTGAGTTTATTGCACGATGTTTGGAGAATTCAGTTCAACGTTTAGCAGTGGCACAGCTCTCTAAAATATGCTGTGCCAGATCACCTGTGGCTTGTGGGCCGTGAGAATGGTTTGAAGTCCAGCGCTTTTCGCGCCATGTGGTGATGTGTCTCGGCAAGCTGCCTCTTGAAAAACTGGCATCGTCTTCATGGAAATGCGTGCATGCGAATGTATACTCCGCGGCCACGGTTTCTCAAGCCAATATTTGACCGCCCTTTTAACGCCAAGCCCGAGCCCTGCGAATTGTTTGTTCAACAGAAGTGGTTTGAAGTCCGGCGCTTTTCGCGCCATGTGGTGATGTGTCTCGGCAAGCTGCCTCTTGAAAAACTGGCATCGTCTTCAATAGTATCCAGGGCATTTGGCGGCCTGCGATCGGGAACCGTGGGGATCGGCGAGCGTGAGCCCCAGAGCAGAGTGCCCCCACGATCCAACATTGAAAACGCCAGGCTTAGAGACCTTGCGGGAGCGACCGCACAGGCGGGCAAGGTAGGCCAACCTGCGCGCTCGCTCGGAAGGCAGTCCTCTGGTGGAGCTTGACCGTCCAGGTGCACCTCCTCCTCCCTGCCCGAGTCCTTGTGTACGATGGTGCAGGCCTGGCCGGTGGCAACACCTGCATAGCTCAACCTCTCACCTCACCGTGCGCTGCCCTCAAGGCGCACGCGTCTCTGGGGGGCATCC